AAAGATAAAAAAGTTTATTTCTGTGTATTTAACTTTAGTTTATTTGTAATTTTTAGTCATTTTGGATTGTTTTTGACTTAACCAAAAAATTTAAAATGTCAAGAGTTCGCGGGCGTCTGTCATTTCATCATTTAAGCTAAGCAACTTCGAAAAAGGACGCCTTGTAGGCATGAAAAAGATTGATTTTAGTTTACGAGAAATTTCACTAATAGTTGAACTACAGTTGAAGCTAATCCATCAACGGTATTGAGTTTGGAGAAGGTGGTCCAATGACGAGACTGATCGGCATCGTGGTGGGTTTGGATGTCCCAAAATTGTAGGAGGACGTGATTTGAACCATCTTAGACTATATAAGATCTGGTACATAGAGTAACATTCGCAGCTACAAGAAAGGTAGTCTCAAGAAGAACAGTTAATCAAAGATTACTTGAAATGTGACTGAGAGCTTACTGTCCATTTTGGTGATACCTTTAACACTACAGCATAAGGTCGACGCTTAGATTGATGCAGAGCTCAACAAAACTGGAATGGCCAATGGAATCTTGTCTGCTTTGGTAAAGAATCTAGGTATTGTTTGGGTGATTCTACTGCACTTTGAGGATAGTGTTTTTGTGCCTTTGTGAGGTGTGTTCGTGCTTTTCACTGAAGATTTTTTATATCCGTTTTTTTCACTTAACAATACCAAATGAGTAGCTAAGCGCGGAACATGCGTAGGTATTTAGTGGCTTAAACAAATTTTCACTGTTAAGGTGTGAACGAAGCAGCTCTTTTATCTTTCGTACAAGCTCAGTAGTTATCTCAGTTTTCATTTGCTTATGGACATTAAAAAAAAATTCAAAATAATTTTACATTACGGGGTCAGCATATGTTATGGTGGGTAGTGTATGTTATTATTAATATTATCCAGATTTAGCCATACGGCTTACACTCCCTCTAAGGGGAAAATTCACTCATCCCAGATACCTACGGTATCAAAAGGATTGAGCTCTGGTCGGACTCTTTTTATGTTATCGAGCCCTAGGTGACTTGGTTTGTTGGAGTATCTCCCAAAAATTTTCGTACACGTCTGGACGTCGTGAGAAGTACAGCTTTTTGCATGACCTTATAAATATGTTCATTTAGCCCTAGCTGTTTAATGTTCGCTAGAAGGTTTTTGGAAATAATACCAGTAGTAGATAGAACAATAGGCACTGTCTGGGTACTTTCCATTCTCCATTGCCTCCTGATTTGTATTTCTAGATCTTCATACTTGGCGATATTTTCCTTGTATTTACCACTCAAATTATTGGTGTTAGGTATCGCCACATCAATAAGTGTCGTTTGCCTGGTAAGTTATTAACTAGTATGAGATTCGGTCTATTATGTGCCACTGGTTGGTCTGTGAGCACAGTGGGGTCCCAGTATAGCTTGTAGTTGTCATTATTTTCAAGCATTCTGTCAGGGACATATTAATAATAAGGAAGATGTTCGTTTTGGACTCAAGGAGTCCCCCTGGAAAAGGCCCCGGTTAATAGGGATATCTTCAGTTTCGATATTAATTTCACCAGGTATTTAAAGGTGAATTTTAGTCTTCCACTCTGTCATTATATGCTTCAAAAAGGTCACGAGATTATAATCGACTTTATATATTTTCAGTATATCTATAAGCCATTCATGCGGCACTGAATCAAAAGCCTTCTTGTAGTCAATGAAGGCAGTAAAAAGGTTTCTTTTTTGGTGTATGCCTGGTTAGAAATGACTGAGTCGATAATAAGTTGTTCTTTGCATCCCATGGAGCCCTTAGCGCATCCTTTCTGTTGGGGCTCTATGATATTGTTCAGAGCACAGTGTTGGTAGATACGCCGGGCCACACAGGATGTAACCAATTTGTATAAAGTTGGAAGACAAGTAATTGGGCGGTACTTGGCTGGATCTTGGGTGTTATTTTGATCCTTCGGTATTAGATAAGTGGTTCCCTGAGTAAAGAAGGATGATATTTCCTGTGAATTAGAAATAATATTATTAATAAATACTGTTAAAAGCTCATGAATACTCCAAAACTTCTTTAGCCAGAAGTTTTGAACTCCGTCCGGTCCAGGAGATTTCCAGTTATGAAGCTCTTTGATAATGTTCGAGACTTCTTCAGTGGTGAAAGGTTCATAAGGAATATTCCTGTAGTGTTGACATTTGTTCGTGGTGTCTTCAATCCATCCAGCATTGTAGTTATGGGTAGCTGGCGTCGAAAGTTGGTTTCCCCAAAACTCATAAGTTTCTTCTTGGCTTGGGTAGGATTTATTTGCGTTTTCTACAGTGGAATTAAGTTTCCTATAGAAAGTTTTCTCTGCTTGCTCAAAAAGTATATTGTCGCATTTCCGGTTGTTACTAACTTTGTATCTCCTCAGGCGGCCTGAGTAAACAGATAGTTTTTGTTTTAATGTGTCCATGCATTGTTGAGGTGTGTTGTTTTCTGGATCATTTCGTGAGTGTCTTAGAGTGTTAAACAATATTTCTTCAGCTCTTTTGATGATTTTTCTACTTCTTACTCCTCTTATGTACTCTGTTATTTGTCCAATGTCCCTACGCAGTAATTCGATCTTCTTCAGCAGACGTTTTTCCCAGGGTGCTATTCTGTTACCAGTCCTTCCGATGTTGGTACCCCGTCGTGTTCTGATCTTAATGCCCATAACATTAGCAATTGCTGTTGCTGCACAGTAAATCAGCACATGCAAATATTCCAATGTGTGGGCTTCTGTGATATAATTGCGTAGGACTTCAGTATTTACAATTTGTAACAGCGCTCCAAGTTTCTTGGAAGAGTTTATTTTTGGTAGCGGTGGTCTGCTAAGTGGGTTTGTTCCACTAAACTCTTGTACGACGCGCGCCATTTCGTTTACCAGACTATCGCGCAACTCGTTATTGTCCTGCTGTGTATTATTAGGTTGAGTTTCTTGTATGAAAAGCTCAGGATCTGCTCATTAGGGATTTCATTAGGGACTTGGTCTGAAAGTTGCTCTTGGTTATGGATCTCCCGTTCGATTTCGCGTCTGATGATGTCGCGTCTAGTCTCTGGAATAAGATTGTTTCTTAAAATTACCCGGTACTGATCTGCTACTCTTTGTTCAGATACTTGGATTTCTGGGTACTCCCTGCAAAATTCGGCATACAATTGTTGTCGATAGCCGATCGTTTCTTGACCGAGGTTTTTCACCTTATAATAAAAGTGAAAAATATTTTCGTTTATGGACACTGTCCACTTCATACGCTGCCTCGGTCGTTCTGCTTGAGTGAGCGCCGGCTAAAGTTCCAGAGCAGCACCTTCAGCGAGTGGAGCTCTTGTTGTTGTTTGGCTCACTTATTATTATTATTATTATTAATATTATCATTATTTTTTAACTTATCCCTAAATAGTACAGTCTTCTATATAAAATGCTATGATTTGGCGTATCAAATACTTGTTTGGTATCAACAAATACTAGATATATCTTGTATCCTTTAAGTCTAAAATATATTTGTTTCCTGAAGTTTAATATAAAGCATTAGGGAAAGTGAAAAAGAAAAATCACCAGGAGAGGATCTAATCCAGAACGATTTCGTAAGGTATGGAGGACCAGATCTGACCAAACAACGATCAAAATAGAACAACACAGAATCACTCAAAAATTGAGATCAAGCATCCTAATACCTCTCTACAAAAAAGGAGATAAATCGGACCCGGAAAATTAAAGAAGAATTTATTTATTTATTATTTAAATACAACCCTAAAATTAACAAAGTAATAACTAATAAACTGAATGAAATTATAACACTAGCAAAAGAACAACGAGGTTTAAAATCTGGAAGATCATATACCGACGCTATATTTATAATAAGACAAGTGTAGGAGAAATCATTAGAATACATCAAATTAAAGGACATTATCCACATATTGTGCGCAAAAGGGATACCTCTCTAATTAATCGAATCGATCAAAAATATCTACTTAAATAACACCATAAAAGTAAAAGTAGAAGAACAACTAACTGACTCTATTGAAACTGGCAAGATAGGGAGATTTCCTGAGTCCTCTATTGTTCAACCTTATTATGGATGAAATAATAAAAACTGTAAAATCTAAAACAGAATACATCATATTATCTAGCTACGGTAGTCATAGCTTGAACAGAAGTGGTAGATTAACTGAATAGCGCAGAGTCGAATATTGCCTTAATGAACCAATACGGAGAAATAAAGATCTCGTGAAAGACATGAAAGGCAGATTTTACAAATGACAAATGCGGCAGAAACACGATCTGACACACAAGACAAGAAGGACATAAGAAACAGCGGAGATAAAAAATTGATGGTAAAACACCATGTGACAGACCTAGAATTACAGATGTACGACTTAGATGCAAGGTAATATATATATATATATATATATATATATATATATATATATATATATATATATATATATATATATATATATATATATATATATATATATAGAATGGAATGATCATATAAGCCGAGTAATAAATAGAGTGGTAAAGATGGCAAGAGACGGTCTCGCAAGAGGAAGAGGAAGAGGAAGAGAAAGAGGAAGAAGTAGAAACAGCATAAAATCGATGAAACGATCAGTTACTGGAGGCACATTGAAAAACAGACAATCATGTCTAGATAAAAAGAAGAAAAAGAAGTTTAAAATAATATCTAATTAAGTATAATATGTTGTTTAGCATTAAATTTAAATGTTAATGCTAAACAACATAGACTTTCTGAGTTATATAAGTATACATTCATTTACCCATCAAATCTAATTATAAAGTCTACAACTCGGCATAATTTTAATACCAATTTTATATTGCCTTAGCTGTTAATTACATTAAATATGACCCATAATGAGGTGCAAGTTTTAAATCTCGAAAGCGGTCATCGTTTTTCTTCTCTTTTATCTTAGGATTAACGATTGTATCTTAAAATGAGATGAGAATATTGCAGAATAGATTATAAATGTAAAATAAAAATATGTCAAGAAAAAACATTTTTAACCTAAATGTATATATTTGGCATCACAAAATTAACATTATAATAACATAAAAATTAACAAATTAAACAATATTTGTAAAAGGGCTAGCACCCTTCACACCAACACTTCAGACTAGCGCTGCAATGCCCACTTACTCGTCCTTCTTCCTTACATACTCTGCGGCAGGTTTCGTTATCCCATACTGCACATGGGCCTCCATATCTTCCGGAAAGACAGTCACCGAAAGCAAGTTCGGTACCGATGGTGAGGATCAACAAGACGGCGAAGATGAAATAACCTTTCATTTTGAAAATTTTCTTTTGTAGTTCAGCGATCTACGTTGAATATAGTTCTCTTTTTGTCGTTGGTTTGACTACTGTGTTGATTCTGTTCAAAAAGCTGCTATTTATATCAATAAATCTAGTTGATTACATAAAATACGACTGTTACGGTTTTTCCAATTAAAAAATAATTTGTATGTATGGAGCGTTCGCAAACTTTGTTTTGATTTATATTTCTGGGAATAATATCCAATAGAAATCCCATATACGTTCTCGAGAAAAACTGCTAAGTTCGATGTGTTATGTGGAAGGTCATGAAGAAATGTATCTTTGGTATTACATAACAATTTGCATAATATATAACATATATTAAAATAATGTTTTCGCTAATAAGAAATAAATAATGAATCCTAATGACAACTTCACGATTTTTCTCACGATATATTTTAAAGAATATGTTTCTCTTTCAGTAATACTTATTATAATATATAGATGAAGATATTCAGTCCAATATGCTTATACGTTTTTCTGTTAATCTGCACAACAGGATCTTAAAATAAATGTAAGGAATATGTCCTAATTATATTTATTAATTTATAATTAAAAACCGTCAAAAACGACGACACAAAAAAGAAAATATTAAATATTGTGTTTATATGGGATTAAGCCACGAATGATTATATTACTATGAAGTTACGAAACATTGAAAATTACATTTTATAATTATTGTTATTTGACGTTTCGATTTACACTCCAGAAATCGTTTTCGAAAATAATTCTAATTGTCTTCGATCTTGTAGGAAAATCGCCATGATTTTAGTTTAGTTGGCTATTTGTTTACAAATCACCCGTCAGGTTGAAAAACATAACAGCTAAACAATTTTTGGTTATAATAAGACTTCACTATTTTTCACAGACATATAATACAAGCTATACTGACTGCTGCAATACAGTCGCGTTATTCCTCCAGTGCGACAGAGAAAACTGACATCAGTCTCATCAGTCTGACATCAGATCAGTCTCTGCATCTCTGTATAATGGATGGGAATTATCGACCACGTGACCTACTCATTGGTCATTTAGATCACGTGGTCGATTTTCTTATTCTTCATGTGACTATCCGTTACGAATGTTAGCGATCATCATGGCAATCTTTATCTTATCTGCAGCATGGCGGAAAAACTGCACAGATGTTGTGTTGAACCAGATTCTGAGGTTCTTTAACCAAGATGTTCTTCTTCTTCCTGGACCTCGCTTTCCAAATATTTTTCCTTGCAGGATGGCTTGAACGAGAGCATATCTGGCTTCAGTTGGCATAATATGTCCGTAGAATTGTAACTTTCGAGATTTAATGGTGGTCAGTACCTCTCGGTTCTTATTCATTCTTCTAAGGACCTCCTCATTTGTGACTCGGTCAGTCCACGGGATCTTAAGTATTCTCCGATATAGCCACATCTCAAATGCTTCCAGTTTTTTGCACATATTTTCGTTCAATGTCCACGATTCATTGCCATATAAAAGGACAGAGAAGACGTAGTATCGCAGCATTCTTACTTTTGTATCAAGAGAGAGGTTGTGACTCTTGAAGAAGGCCCCTATCCGATTGAAGGTGGATCTAGCTTTTGCGATGCGTGCTCTAATCTCCTATTTATTGATCCATTCTTCGTTTATTATGGTGCCGAGTTATTTGTAGTGCATTACTCTTTCACTCAGAGTGATGCACGTGGTCGATAAACTTGGCAAATTAGAAGAGAAGCAGGGACTGCCTTGCGACAGTTTTCTCTATTTTTCCCTATGGAACTGGGGGAACGGACTGGTATTGCATGCACCAGTCTATCCTGCACTATGTCTATGCTTTTTTTAAATAATCATTTTTGTCAATGATTTCCGGAGTGTAATACTGCACTGTGGTTGCATTTGTGGTGGCCAAACTGTGCAAGATATGATGCTGATAGAACGAATAATCAGGTATCAAATGTACGAAAATATTTTCACGAGATAATAATAAAAAGACCTTTAATATTACAAAAATTATGTACTATAATTGTCCTTAAGTAAAATGTTTTGAAAGCAAAACGAGCCTCTGTTTGGATTTCCGGGTGAGGACTATTTTAGAGGAACAACATTAGAGTTTAGAAAAATCAGGTTATAGTCTTGGAATCGTGAAGGTTTTACATGTAAGAGTATAGAGTTGATAAATTCGCTTAGAAGAAGAAGGAGAGTGCAAATTGCTTGCATTCAAGACACTAGGTGAAAAGGACAAAGGTAAAAGAACTAAATGAGAGATACAATCGATTGTGATATGTAAAGAAAAGTAACACTAGGACTGGAGTTGGTGTAATTGCTGATAGAGAAATCAAAGTTAACGCAGTAGTAGTTGTAAGAACCAGTCATAAAATAATATCAGTGAATTTTGTATTTGACAAAGAAGTGTTGAATATATACGGTATATAATAAAATAAAGAAACAATATGTTCAATCACAATAATAGTTTTTATTTACAGTAGGTTACTTGAAATAATGTTAGAGTATAATGAAACCTACATATGTAGTAGTAATGGTGGTCCGGCATGCTCTGTGGTTTCCAATGATAGTTCTGTTCTTTCATCATTTAATTGCTTTTGGATGTAATTGGTCCAGTGAAACTATCTTTTCTTTCCTTTCCTTCATGTAAGTAATATCTCCTTTATCATTTTTAAGGATATTTGTTCTTGATTTTTATAGAACCTGTCATTTCTTAGATTTTTTGTGTAAATGAAATCTATTTTTTTTTTATTTGGAGGGTCACCTCTCTTCTGCCTCTGGAATTTTCTTACTGGTGTTTTTTTAAATTTCTTTATATTTATTCAGGTCTTATGCTTTATGTTCTCTTCGTTCTTCCATATGTTCAAGAATTTCAAAGTTTTGTTTTTCTCCAAGGGGTTTGAGGTTTTCTTTTCCAACTGAAACAAGGGTATTTTGAATGTTTCCCCATTTTTGGTCAACAGTTAGATTTTCTGCATTATCTTCTTTCACTTTCTCTTGACGTTTTTTTGAAGTTCTCGTTTATTTAAAATTACATTTTCACATGTGTGTTATCTTGTTTGAGCCGCCTTGTACCAATGATTTTTTTGGAGCTAGGGTGCTTTACATTCTTTAGTTTCACTCTTATAGATAAAACAACCGGATTGTGATCGAAGAATATGTCAAGAATATTCCTCATTAATACAGAAATCAACCAGCCGGTCCCCACGTTCATTCTCCCTCCTCCCCGAGTTCATACCACTCCACAAAATTCTCCACTTCTCCTGTCTCCTTAGCCCACTTTAGCGCTTAAATCTCCCAATATAATATTTATATCATATCTTTTATTCAGCTTTAAAATATTGCCAATTTCTTTATAGAAGTTCTCTATGGTGTCTTCATCCTTGTCTGCAGTAGGTGCATATAATTGTAGTACATTTATTTTACGTTTTAAATGAGAGTTGAGAGACAACATCAATACTCGATCAGAGTAGGGAATAAAGTTACAAACAGCATTTTGAGAATTCTTATCAACTATAATGTTAACTCCCTGCCTTTAATTGAAGTTGTTGTTACCGGAATAATATATATTATGACATCCTTTGTCGTAATTATCATTTAAAATTCAGTAGAGCTTCTTTATATTTTCTTTGCTGAAACCAAGGGCCCTGCTGTAAGATGTACCAGACGATTTTCCTTTCTGGCGATTTAGCTTTTTAGAGCTTCTAGAATCCCATTTTTAAACTGATGTTCGATGCCGTTCTTTTCTACCAACTGAGCGAAAAGGTCACTACGAGTAAGCCCAAAATACTAAAAATCAATAGCACGATAATAATTTACAAGTATTCTCAAGGCTATTGCTTAACTCATTCACTGCTTGCTCTAAAGCGTCGTATTTCATGTTTGATAATTTAATTAGCGTAATTTTGAGTACAATATACTGCTTACTTGCTTTTTTCCAATCCATCCTTTGACTTCTAATAGCATCTTTCGTTTTTGATGGACTCCACCCCCTCTGCTTTGGTGTTCGCTTTAGGAACAAGCATGGGGTTCGATTTAGGCAACCATAATATCACATTTATAATTAAAATATTATATAAATATAATTCGATAAATGTCGAAATAAAATAACTTGGATATAAACATGATCCCCAATATTTCCCATTAAAGAATGTATCTAGAGATTATCACTTATCTTCTAGTATCCTGTCAATATCAATCAAAAAGTAGGTCGGTCTTAATTTTTTGATGGCGCTCAAAACGGCTCATCTCATTGTGCGACAGTTTGACCGAGTGACTTAAGCGCTTCAATAAACTAATGTACTAATCAGTACTAATGGCGTAGTAGTAAGTTTAATGGCGTAGGGAATATTTTCATTATATTTTAATATTTTATGACAGATAATGTACAAGTCAATAGTTGTATCAGTTGTCTTTGAATATTTATCGACGAAACTACGAATAAATCAGTCAAGCATAGAAAAAATACAAATTTTCTTCAACAGTGAATTTATCCAATTGTACCCCACCATGGGGCAGATTTGTACAGCTGTAGGGCACATGTGGACCATTCAGATAAACATTTGTCTCAGCTTTATAAACAAAAAATAATATAATATACAAATTACTCACGAATGATATTTATTGGTTATAACATGAACACATTTGACAAAGAAGTTATTTAATGTTGTAAGGGAAAAATGAGTTATGAACTTTATGTAAGACGCTTGACGAGATGCTCCCTTGGTTTCTAAAGGTATAGGAAGTTTTGCAACAATATCGGTTCTTGATATAGTGCTAATATCATTTTCAGTAGGATAATAAAAGCCACTGTTCAGTTTGTATCGTAAAAATTTGATTGTTAGTTCCTCATCCACTAGTTCTTCTACACGGCCCACAAAGTAAACAACCATTTTCTTTATTGCAAATTTTACCAAAACGAAGTCGCCTACAGGAACCTCTTTATCATCTAAAAGACCATTTATTGCCTACTGATCACTGTGCACATCTATATCAGAATCTGAATTGGAATCAGACATCGTAGCGCTACGTCAGATTCTAAGGAACTAAAGTAAAATGATTT